GTGGAGGTGGGTGGGCCTCGTGGTGGCAGCGGCATGTCCAGAACATAGGTCTGTCCCATTCAGGTTGTTCTTTGAAGGCCCCTCTGTGGGGCACTCCCACAGCCAAGGCGGGGCCCTGCTGCCCCTTAGGATGGCTGGTTGGGGACCCTCGGGCAGGGATGTGGGACAGGGCACCTGGCCAGCACCTTCCGGCCTGAGCGTTTGCTTCCACTTCTCCAGCAAACTCTTTGACTCTCATGTTCTAAGCAATGCACCCGGCTCTGGGGCCATCTGTGCAGGTGCAGGCCCATCTGCCACCCAATAAGCACCCCTCCAGGGCATCCTGGGGGAGCTGCTGGCTCTCTGGGACCCTGGGGGCCAAGTGGAGGCCAACAAGGATGTGGGGGCAGGAGGGGGGAGGAGATGGAGGGGGGCCTCCGGGCACACCTGTCACCTCTGCGGTGTCAGGACCACCACACCACAACGGGCTCACCCACAGTCACGGTCCTCCATGGGCCCCTTTCCTCCGCGTCAGCCCTTCTGGGTTTACATAGTTAAGAACAACGGCTTCAAGGCAAATTGAGAGAATGCAGGGCCTTTACCCGAACAGCTGCTGCCTGTGACACCTCCTGGCTGGAGGTGCCCGAGAAAGAGGGGGCCTGGGCAGGCCCGTTTGTTTGTTGCTTCTGGGCTCCTTTCTGCCGAGCAAACGAAGGATGTTCATCTCCACAATACCAGCGGCTGCCGCGTGGCCAGACCGTTTCTGTTTACACACAAAATGTGTTGAGATGCCGGCCGTTACTGTGTGATGAAAGGCGGTGATTCGGGAGCACAGGACGGATCCGGGTGGAGCCAGGGTGAGGATCCCGTCGCTCACGGTGCAGAGAAGGGCTGGGCAGAGCTTGGATGTCTGGGTGCCCATGAGATCAGAGGCCGCTGCTGCCTGGCACCCTCAGCCTCTCTGCTCCAGGGAGTGTGCTGTTGCTGGCATGTCTTTCCCTGAAACCTGGTTCCTGAACAGAACCAGGCCGACACCCCGGAACTGTGCTCGGCCCACAGCGGGTCCTCATGCCGCACAGAATCCCAATGAGGTGCTTCAAAGCTGATCTGGAAATGGATTTCAACCTGGCGGTTTATTCAGAGTTAGGGCGCCTTGCAACACACAAATGTGGGGAAACGTGGACAAATGAGCACGATTAGAATATTCCAGAACACGGGCACCAGGCACCTGCGGCCACGAGGTCCACGGACAGAAGCGGCGAGTGGGCAGGAAGGGGCCTGCTTGCTGTACGGCCCCGGGACCCGGCTTCCTCCCCTCTCCCTGCTCAGCGAGCCTCACGGCACAGGGCGGGGCGTGGCCAAGAGAGGGGTGACTGTCCGCTGAAGCCTGTCCCCAAGAGCACGAGCCCGTGTGGGGTGCCAGGAGGGGTCACTGCCCTGGACCCCGGGGAGAACATGTCATGTCCACCCGGGTCACCCGGCTGGAGGCAGACGAAGGTCCACAGAGCAGAGACGGAGAGAGAAGGCAGAGCCTGGAAACCCAGCAGGGACGCCTGGTTCCCCACGTCCCCCAGGGCGGTCCCAGGTTCTCACTGCAAACCCACCAGTCCCCGCGTCTGCCACCGGGACCACGCACATCTCGGTGAGCAGCGCCACCCTGGACATGGATGCCCTCTGACACTTTTATTCTGTTTCCTCCTCCCTCTCGCTGCTGAGAGTGACCCACCGACACCTTCACGACCAGCTAACGGGGGACGGCCTGCGCTTTGGGAAGCGGGGGGCTGGGGACGGCAGCACCAGCACGCGTCGGGGGCCCGGTCAGTCAACCAACGCGCCAACTCATCCCACGTATCCACGGGCCCTGGGCGCAGGGACGGGAAAGCGGGACCGGAAAGGCCCACGCGCAAGGCTCACGCTCTGGGGCCGGGGACACCGGCTCCATCTCGGCCTCAGTGCTCAGCTGCCTGATCCCACAGACACCGGGGACCCTGACAGATGAAAACTCCGCCAGGGGATGGCCGGGGTGCAGCCTTAGCTGGAGTTGCCACCTCACAGCTTCTGTCCTCAGTGTGTCCCCAGAGGCCTGGATGGTGCTCAAACCCCACATGGCCTGGGGCCCGCCGTGGGGCCCAACCAAATTGGTCCCTAGAGCATGTGGATAAAACAGCCTGTCCGAGTCCTGAGAGGCCGCCAGGACAGGACACGGCGGGTGCTCCTCTGCCCCCGAGTGATCCTGGTAGAGACCCTCCCGAAAGGGCCCGGATCCCAGATGCACGCCCAGGGCACCTTGGCGGAAATCACGGCCAGGACCCCAAAACCCTCTGGGGCCTCTTTCTGTCCTAACGGCCACCATGCAGAGCCTGGGCAAGAGGCGATGCTGGGAGGAGGACCCCACCCCACCCGGTCCTTTCTCTTTAAAGTCCCTTCTCCCTGGGGAGGTACCTGAAGCCCCTCTGGGGTGGGGACTCTAACATCCCCCAGAAACAAGACAACTTCCACCAATGATCTTTCCTGTGGGCACAGAGAGAACTTTCGGTCTGACAAGCCTGGAGGGCAGTTCTGTCCAACCACTCGGTGCCAGGCCCAAGAGGGCAGCTGGGGACAGTGGGGAGAGCTGGAGAGAGACTGATGGCCCCAGAGGGAGGCGTGGGGGTTTGGGAGGCTGAGGGGGCTGGTGGGATCTCCCCATAAGGAAGCCAGGGACCAGTTTCCTCCGTGCCTGTCGTTGCTGGTGTGAAGGCCACCTCCCTTCCCGGGTATGCCGCACGGCGGAGGCCTCTTCCCCTCCCCCAGGGCCCCCCAGGAGGCCAGGGGCCGCTACGCACCGTGGTGGTCTTGATGCGCCCGCCGGGCTGTGTGCACGTCCAGCCGGACCGGTTGATCAGCAGGTCACAGCCCTCCCCCTCCAGGCAGGGACGCATGTCACACCACTGCTTCGTCTTGATGATCCGGGCTGCAGGGGGAAGAGAGAGCCGGTCAGTCCCCCTTGGCCCAGACACGACAGCACCTGTGCACCCGACCTTGGGGACAGAACAGCCTGGTGTCACTCAGGGTGGCCTGGCCAGGCCGTGTCTCCTCCCCCTTGTCACCCAGCCACAGCACCTGCTACACAGTTCACACACACACACACACACACACAGAGAAATGCACAAGTCACAAAATGCTCATGTACAGGTACATGCACATGTAAACACACACATGTGCATGGACACTGATCTGCATACACAGCCACATGTGTGGGGCCACTGGTGAGCGGCCTGGCGTGAAGCAGGCAAGTGGACACATTTGCAGAATGAAAGATGGGAGGACACTCAGAGTCACTGACCGCTGTCCCCCCGGGACACAGGCCTGGGTGTGCCCGGGCCAGCCCTGCAGAGGGCGCTGCAGGCTGACGCTCAGCACACACTGCCTGTTGTTTGCCAAGGCGGCTCTGCGCGCCCAGCCCTGCCCACTTCCTGCTGGAGGCCTGGGAGGCAGAGCGCCGGACCACCACGTCCCAGGGACAAAGGACCTTTCATCCCACACGTCACAACTTCATTCCTTTGCCCAGACTTTGTGGCAGCTCTTGGCCGGGAGAGAGTGTCCCCAAAGGGCTGACGGTGCTGAGGGAGCCTGAGTGATGGTGGCTGATGGCTGGGGACAAGGTCCCAGACTATTCATGTGTCAAAACGCCGAGGGGCTCCCAGGGCGGGTCAGGAGCTTGGGGTCATTTATGGTCATGGCCTTAACGCCTGTCCCTAGGCCCAGTGGAGAGCAGGTTTGTCCAGCCTGGGCCACTGAGGGGACCATGCAGGCCCAGAACCCAGCCCAGGCCTTCTTCACCTTGCACCCAAACATATCCACGCACCCACACACGTCCATGCACCCACACACATCCATGTACCCACACATGTCCACACACCCACACATGTCCACGCACCCACACACGTCCATGCATGCACCCCCCCCACACCCACACCCACATGTCCACGTGTGCACACAGCAGGCCTTGCTCTCTCTAGTGGAGACCCCAAGGGCTCAGGCTCTGGCCGGAGTGACCTGCTCCTTTCTGGGCTCTGAGTCTCCCTCTCAGAGGACCTTTGGGTGCTTCTGGGCACAGGGGCTCATTCCCCGGCCTCCCAACCCCCAGAATGAAGCCACTGCTACAGCCCAGATACTTGTGACAACAGAACAGAGGACACAAGCGCCGTGAGGACAGAGGGCTGGGGACAGAGTGCGGGGCACACGTTTCAGGGAGGGGCGCAGGAGGGTGGAGGGAGAAATGACGGGCAGGCAGAGGCCACCACGGGCTGGGCCCGGCCTCGTGGTCCTGGGACAGGAGCAGGGCCGGCTGCCTGGGTCCCGGCGTCAGGAGAAGGGCTGAGAAGTGGTGGGCTCAACGGGGCGCAGGTCCTGGACATGCAGTGGCTCAGGCGGGTCCTGGTCACTCAGCTGAAATTTGACAATCTGTCAGGGAGACGGTGGCTGGGTTAAGGACAGACTGCGGCAGCCACGGGTGACACGGACCTGGCAAGAGGGTCGGCAGGGACACGTCCGATAAAGTCAGCAGTGAGCCAGCAGGGGCAGCCCCTCACCAGGGGCACGGCCACACCGACGCCCGGCCACGGGGCAGGTGGGAGGGAGGGGCCTCCAGGGCCACGTGCCCCGACTGGGGTCCTAACAGGCCTCCGGGGACCCACCTGGGGACAGGCTCCTTCCTCCAGGAGACGGAGGGAGAACATGAGCCTTCACCTGGGCTGTTTTTGTTACATGAGGGTGACGAGGGCTGCGGCGAGCTCTGTGGTCCCTCCCAAGTCCCTTTTGCGCAGACATCAGCCTGGCCACACCCCAGTCGCCTGGCCACACCCCAGTCGCCCTCAAGGCAGCGCAGCGCTCTGTGGGATGCAGCTTGTCCTCGGGGAACAGGCCCCGGGGGAGACACCGGGATCTCCCATCTCACGTGCTGGTGGGACGGTCCTGCGGGGGACGAAATGCCTGCTCTACACAGGACGGCGCAGTGGCCTCACGCCTGCGCCCTCCCCCTCGCGCCCGCCGTCAGATGCGGGAGGACCCGAGCCCGGCAGGAGCCAGCGGGTCCACTGACGGCGAGCCCGCTGCTAGAGTGCGTCTGCGCCAAGCAGCTGCCCTGCAAATTTAAATGTTATTGGTTTTGCCATTGTGTTTGTTTAATTTTTAAATGGGCTTCAGTTTTTCCAGTTTATAGTCTAACGAGCGCTGCCGGCCTGGTGTTCACTTAGATTCCTGCAACGTGACAACAGAAACTAGTTAGGCCGATACTGGGGGGGGGCAGGGAAGCATCTTCCCCTTAGAAGGGTTTTCATGAGACTTAAGTCTGAGGAACACTGTGGCCGGTCCCCAGCGACAGGGCCTGACCGGAGGGGCCGCCAGCAGGGGCCGCAGACCCACTGAGCAAGCCCTGGCCGGGCCCGGGGCCTGCGGGACCGAGCAGAACCGGCCTGGGCCGCAGCAGGGGCTCCGGAGGCGCCTGCCCTGCAGCCGGAGAGCTCTCGGGGCGGCCCCAGCTCCCTGCGCCCACACAGGGGGCTTCCGTGTCTTGGGCGCAGGCGTGTGCGGTGAGCACGGGTGTGGTGTAGCCTTCGGGCCGGCTCCCCTCTGTCCTGCTGACCCTCCAGCCCCCCGCCACCCCCCCAAATCTAAGGAACTGGACCACAGGGGTGACCTTGTTGAGCCCTGGAGTGGGTGGATGGCACACTTCCAGGGACAGCTCTGCGGGGACACACATGCTGCTGACTGGGGTGTGGACAGATGGACAGGGACAGGCGGTGCTGATCACGGGGGGCCGGGGCTGTGCTGCTCACTGCTCACCCAGGCCCCCTGCTCACACACTGCGGGGCTCCCCCGAATAAGCTGTTTCTTCATTTCCATTACATGGGAATCTGCTCGCTTTACCCAACAGCTTGGAAAATGAGTCATCAGAACAGAACAGCGGGGCTCCAGCAGGGAGCCCGGCCACAGCCGCGCCGTCCCCAGGGGCCAGTTCCTCCGCCGGGCAGGCGACGCTCTGGCAGCCGGTGGCCCAGGCAGATATGTCCCCCAACTGCCCCAGATCCTGCTGGTGACGGGGGGTCAGGCAACACAGGGAGAAGGGGCAGTCGACATTTAATACGCACATCTACATATTATATATGTATGCACTCCCCACACACAATCCCACACACAACCACATAGACACAATCACACAGCCACACACACACAACCACACACGATCACACACACACACACACACATGATCACACACAGTCACACACACACGATCACACACAGTCACACACACAACCACATAGACACAATCACAGTCACACACACAATCACACAGACATGATCACACACACAATCACACACATGATCACACACAATCACATAGACACAATCACACAATTACACACATACAATCACACACACAATTATGCAGTCACACACACAACCACACACACTCACAATCAAACACACATACTGACGTAGCAGGTCTGACATCTCGAGGGTCCAGAGGAATCGACCGCGTGAAGATGGAGACAGGGCCCCTGCAGACGTTGTGAGGTCCCAGGAGGCCTTTTTGCCCCAGGTGCTGGCCGTGGTACCAGCTCAGGCAGAAGGCCCGTGGGGCCGGGAGGTCAGAGGGCACCCTCGTGGCCCCCAGAGCTGTCCTAGGTGGCCTCTCCTGCAAGAGCCCTGTCATAGGCTGGCCCCGGGACAGAGAGGAATCGGACGAGCCCTGCCCTGGAGGACAGGACGGGGGTGGCGCAAGGACAGGCGACAGGCACGTTGAGGCGCTGGGGGGTCGGGCGGGGGGATCCCAGTGTCCACCTTCCCACCTGCCAGGGTTGGCGGCGCTGGGTTCAGGAAAATGCAAACAAGCCCAGAACCCCAGCGGGGACACCCTGGAAGAAATTCATTTTGCTCACCTCACCCCCCGGGACCTGGGCTCCAGGACGTCACGTCTGAAAGGCCCAGGCTTAGACCCACCAGGTCACCGTGCCGGTGGCGCAGCAGGGTCACGGGCGCGGGGGCTCTGCCGCCACAGACGCAGTCGGGAGACCCGCCGTCCCAGAGCCGCAGGGGGCTCCGGGGCCGGGGCNTTCCTCCGCCGGGCAGGCGACGCTCTGGCAGCCGGTGGCCCAGGCAGATATGTCCCCCAACTGCCCCAGATCCTGCTGGTGACGGGGGGTCAGGCAACACAGGGAGAAGGGGCAGTCGACATTTAATACGCACATCTACATATTATATATGTATGCACTCCCCACACACAATCCCACACACAACCACATAGACACAATCACACAGCCACACACACACAACCACACACGATCACACACAGTCACACACACATGATCACACACAGTCACACACACACGATCACACACAGTCACACACACAACCACATAGACACAATCACAGTCACACACACAANGACACAATCACAGTCACACACAATCACACAGACATGATCACACACACAATCACACACATGATCANTAGACACAATCACAGTCACACACACAATCACACAGACATGATCACACACACAATCACACACATGATCACACACAATCACATAGACACAATCACACAATTACACACATACAATCACACATACAATTACAGCCACACACATACAACCACACACACAATTATGCAGTCACACACACAACCACACACACTCACAATCAAACACACATACTGACGTAGCAGGTCTGACATCTCGAGGGTCCAGAGGAATCGACCGCGTGAAGATGGAGACAGGGCCCCTGCAGACGTTGTGAGGTCCCAGGAGGCCTTTTTGCCCCAGGTGCTGGCCGTGGTACCAGCTCAGGCAGAAGGCCTGTGGGGCCGGGAGGTCAGAGGGCACCCTCGTGGCCCCCAGAGCTGTCCTAGGTGGCCTCTCCTGCAAGAGCCCTGTCATAGGCTGGCCCCGGGACAGAGAGGAGTCGGATG